CCCGTTCCAAAACCCTGCCCCCCCGCTGTTCTAGAACTCCGTTGTCATCCTAACCCCCCCCATTCTTTTCTAGAACCCTGTTTCCATAGCAACCCACCCGCAGCTGCTCCAGAAGTTCACGTCCACACCCTCCGCCCGGTGCTAGAACCCATATCCGCGCTGCCCCCTGCTGGTCTAGAACCCCCGTTTCCTAGCAACCCACCCACGGCTGTTCAGAAATCCGTATCCATGCCAACCTCCTCCCCTCCCCGTTTCAGAACCTCCTTCCCATGATGCACCCGGCAAGTTCTCTAGAACACGGTTTCCATAGCAACGTTCACGTCCACACCCTCCGCCCGGTGCTAGAACCCATATCCGCGCTGCCCCCTGCTGGTCTAGAACCCCCGTTTCCTAGCAACCCACCCACGGCTGTTCAGAAATCCGTATCCATGCCAACCTCCTCCCCTCCCCGTTTCAGAACCTCCTTCCCATGATGCACCCGGCAAGTTCTCTAGAACACGGTTTCCATAGCAACACACGGAACCTGTATACAAGCGCTTCTGGAGCCCGGTTTCCATAGCAACCCACCCCAGCCCCAGGCCCACACAGCCACCCAGCTCTAGAACCCCATTGCCTAGTCGCAGTCCTAGAACCCCGTTTTCACAGCCACTCGGACGCTGTCTCCATAGCAACCCCTGCCCACGCTGAGCCAGGGCAGAGTTCCAAGGTGCTCTGGACTGCTCTAGAACCCATTCCCTTCCTCCCCCTCCCCCATCTGTTCTAGAGCCGAGGGCTGCCCCGGCTGCGGCCATCTCCCCTGCGCCGGACCTTCCAGGTGGCGGACTTGAGGTTGACGGTGCGCCCCCTGCTGGTCAGGGTGCTCTTCATGCGCAGGGAGAAGCTGCGCTCCGTCTTCACCTCCTTCTTCTTAGAGAAGCCTGCGGCAAGGGAGGGGGCAGGACAGCGTCAGCGGGTGCCCCGTGGGGGAGAGGGGCAGCGGAGGGCGTGGGAGCAGCCATGGGGGAGGGAGGCATGGCAGCGGCCCTCTCCCCACTCACCTGGGTCAGGCCCAGGTGTTTGCTGACGTTCTCCGACAGGTAGGCCATGTCACCCTCCTCTGTCAGCACCATGACGAAGCCGTCCAGCGCCTTCAGGTAACAGGCGTCCACCTGCTCCGGCTGCCCGCGCCACTCCTCTGCGGGCCACAAGCACGGGGGTCAGCCGGGCCCTGCCCAGGCCAGGGAATTCCCAGTATAAACCCATCTGAGAGCAAGA